CCAGTTTGACCACATTTTACAATTGCTTTTCATTATATGTCATTTATCACTAATAAATATATTCAATTAAACACTTCACTTTGTATATATTGCTCACACGGAAAATAGTCTTAAGAGAGCCTCCTTAAGAAACCCACAGCTATACCCCATTTGTAATGAACGATAAAAGACAATCTTTCCCTAATAGAGAACAATATTCTATGGCATCATTACGTTACAGCACATATTTATCAGTGAATATTAAAAGAAATCGATCAAAAAACAAAACCATGGCCACAAATAATCAAATACTTGCGATACGTAATAAAAAAGATTAACTTATTAATATGTTACATTGTGATATCTACTAAACTATTCATAAAAATAAATTCTTTTTTTCCAAAGAGTATTGAGAACAGTTTTCTTTCAGTTCAGTTTTTTCAGTAGAATTTGGGTTCGATTCAAAATTGTAGTTTCGCCATCTATCGATCAAATTGGTAAGAATCGGTCAGTCCGATTGCAACACAATTTCTTTCGTTTTTGAAGAAATAATAAAATGTAAATTCAACACGCTTGACCAGCTCGTAAAAGTATATAAAGCAGATTAAAAATATCAAAACAAAAATCATGTGTAATATAATACACTTGCTTTACTCGCTCTGTGTCTATTGTACAACGAATAAGTTTGTTTATGCATATGTCATGAAACCCATCTTTGAAAAAAAGTCAGATGACATATTAAGAATTATCAAAAAAGAAGAAATATATCGATTTATTCGTTTTTTGTATCTTATCTGTAAGTAAATAGGCATTACTTCTGTTAAGATAACAAAACTAATTAGTTTCGATCGTCAAAAATAAAAAAAGCAAATACAATAGAGGCTCTTTGCTTAATAATTTTTTCAGAAGACATGGAAGAAATTTCTGTTGAGTCGAATCGTGAGAGAAATTCATTAAGGATTCATCGTCTCTAATATATTCACACTGACAGTCTCATTATAGAAACTTTGTAAAAATATATATAAAATTTATTTCCAAATAAAGAATAAATTATTGAACAGAGTATTTGATGAGAGCATCATAATTGTTGCCATGATCATATTTTCCATAGATAGTGACATCGTTTGCGCCGATTTGAACTTGTGTTTGAAAGATTGAATCAATATAATTTTGTGTACCAATCCATTTTCCATCTACTTGAACTTTCACTTCCTTTGCTCCTGGAATTACGAAATGGAAAGGTATAGTAGTATTGTTCTTCAGTATTCCATTCAACGATTCATAAATTCGACAACGATTCGCTATAAATTTATCATAAGTTAATGGAAACTTTATTGGATTTTCAAGACTTGTTACATTCAAATTGAATTGAGCAACAATATTAAACTTTTTGTCTAGATTTGATCGATGTCGAGCAAAAATAGTCAATTGATGCTGACCAGTTTGTTGAGGTGCAAATAAAAGTTGCCATTGCTTTTTCTCATGATCAAATTGTGTTAAAGTTTGATGTTCTTCCTCAATATTGTTATATGCAATCTTACATAAGAGTTCAATATCTTCAGGTGTTGTAATTCGAATTTCAGCATATAATGCCTGATCAGACCAAATAACTGTTGAGCGATTGTATGGTTCATCGATTTTCAAATCTAAATCATGAAACAGTTGCCAGGTTTTTGGATAGGAAAGTGGTGGTTTTGGAATATTTTTCGCTATAATCTTGAATGCCACAGCAGAAGTATAGAGACCTTGATCTGATTTTCGTTTAGCCATAATATCAGCTTTAAATATTCCATCGTCATTTGGTGCAAATACACATTGCCAATAATGTTCTTTATGATCATAATAAACTTGATGTCCTCCATCAACTTCATTTTTCTCATTATCTCTCAATATTCCGAGTAGTTCTACATCATCTGGCGTTTGTATAAGAATTTGTGCGAATGTATCTCCATTATCCAATTGAATCGTATGTGTGTTGATAGGAGACACCACTTGTAAATGAAGATCATGAAATAATTTCCATGTTTCCGGATAAGACACTGCTGGTTTTGGAATATCTTTTGCATCAATTTTGAATGCTACAGCAGAAGTATACAAACCTTGATCAGACTTTTGTTTTGCCATAATGATTGCTTCAAATAGTCCATCATCATTGGGTGCAAAATAACAAATCCAATAACGTTTGTCAGCATCATAATAGACTTGATGTCCTCCTTCAATTTCATTTTTTGTACCATCTACTAGTCTGCCAAGTAGTTCAACATCGTCGGGTGATTCTATGAGAATTTGTGTGAATGCTTCTCCTTTTTCCAAACGAATACAAGAAACATTAACTGGAGATATGATTTTTAAGTGTAAATCAAAAAATAGTTTCCACGTTCGTGAATAACTAATTGGATTTTTTGGTAGTTCTTCAACATCCAAATTTAAATCAATGGTAGAAATAAACAGATCTGTTTTCTGATCATCACATTTTGCGTAAATAGTAACCTTATGTTTACCAGCGGCATTCGGAGCAAAATAACAGCAATATAATTTTCTCTTCTGATCAAAGATGACTTGATGGCCACCTTCTACTTTCTCATTATGCAGTTTTAAATCAGCAGTGAGACTAACATTTTCAGGTGCATCTACAATTACCAATGCATACGGTTTGTCAGGAAGAAGTTGTACATACGATTGATTACATGGATAGATTAATTGTAAATTCAAATTAAAATATTCTGGATGCAAGTTTGGCATTTTTAAAAACTGCTTCATTGAAATTGGCTCTTGTAATAGTTGCCATCGATAATTTTCCGGTAAATGATGATAGATCATTTGTTGTGGTCGAGGAAAAAAATAGAATGGATTTAACTCTCGTTTAAAATCTTTTCGATCATTTATAAATCCTGCACCCCAAGTTGAATCTATCAGATACCAATGTTGATTAATTTGAACTGCATTCCAAGCATGATCCGTTTGATTTGATGCATTACTACGTATATCAAAGCCATAACCTTTTGAATATCCGTTAATGATTTTACAAGGAAGTTTTAAACGATCACAGAGATATTTATAAAGATGAACATATCCATTACAGATACCTTTTCCTGTAAGAAAAACATCTTCAACTGATTGATTTATATGATTATTGGAAAAGTATGCAATAGTGTCGTATTCAATATTAATTGCAATAGAATAGAAAATAATCCAATGACAATCGATTAAAGATTTATTCTTCGTCAAAGTTTTGATTGCATTAACTAAATGCCGAAGAGATTTGAATTGCCACGATTCAATGATTGAACGATAAAACTGATTATTGATGGCATTTTGACGTTGTTGAATGAAAATTGAATCAAATGCTTGAGGATCACTATCAATGATTTCAACGAAATGATCTTCTTCTTGTATAGTTTGATTGATAAACTTAATTATTTTACCTTCCTCATCATCTTGAAGGGAAAGCTCAATAGGTTTTTTAATTTTAAATGGTTGTTCTTGCGATTCGTCGATAATTCCTGATCTCTTATATTTCATCGCAGTAGGTTCACTAGCGTCTGCTGCTCGAAGACATTTACATAGCATAACTGAGTACCAGTTTTGTTGATATATTCAACGAACGTAAATGTGTAGTAATTGATACAAAATAAGACACGTGTGTCTTTTTTCGTTTCTTTTACTTGCTACATCGTTACACATTAATGTTCACATATAATTTGTCCTTCGTTTATTTCAAGATTGTCAACAAATATCGCACTCACACTAGCGTCACGCAATAATTTTCACAATATCTCGATGGAAATATTTATTGTAGATATATACAAAGTTCATTCAGTGCAATGGTGATTTAATAAAAACTACAGGAATAGAGAACGAATATGGATAACAAACCAATAACATTTTTTGGAACAGACAAATATAATAAAGAAAAAGAAACGAGAACAGTTTAATCAATTAATACGAAAGTATCGTTCATCATACGGATGTGGATCCAGAATAAGCTATGGTATTCACTCGCAAACTCGGGCGAAACAATGGTCTTACAGCTAGCACTCTTTTTAAGACACAATCTTAAACATATTTGTAAAGCTTTCTTTTAATGTATTTCATTTTTATCTTAAAAATAATATGATGGTTTCCACATCTTGAGGGTGTGAACGTGGGTGTGATTACTCTTTTTAGTCCACACCCACACCCACACTCTTTGCTTATAAAAGTTACGCAGCATCGTAATTGAATAAGGAAAAACATTTGAATGAACGAAAACAAGTTTTATTAGATGGAACGACAGTATAAAAAACTCTTTAATAGTTTTTTTAAAGAATTTTTCTTAAAAGTCCTTTCTTTTTCAATAAAATAAAAATTTATAATGGTAAAAATATTATTTGATGTCCCACGGAGACGATAATCGTCTTTGATGGAAACGGTTCCGCTAACGGAACCAGTACACAACACGATTTTCTTACAGTGAGCGAACATAGAAATTTTGAAGACTTTTTTTAAGAAAAAATGTTTTGAAAAACAGAAACTGAAAATCAAGTGAATATTTCTATTGTAGATTGTTCTTTGATAGAATGGTTGATGATCATCACCAAGTATTCGACATAATCCGAAAGATGGCATTAGTCGACGAACTAGATCAGCAACATTTGATATGAATTTTTGATGGATCAATATACATAACCAATTATAAATAAAGCAACATCTGTCATCTGCCATCAATCAATTGATGAAGTTTTTTTTAACTAAATTTTTTTTGTTTTATTAACATTGAAACAATGTATTTTTTTTTGTATTCTACTTAAAATCATTAAATCGATCAATAATGATTATTTTCAGGTTCTTTCATAAAAAATGCAATACCTACAAGTTTTTGATAATCAAAGAAAACATATTGTCCGACTAATTTTAAATACAGATAATACAATTAGTTACGAGTATTTCAAACAAACATTTCCTGATGCTACTGGTTTACTCGAAATCGATGAAGATGTCTATACTAGGTCAGTTGAAAAATTAAAAAAATGTTGTAATATACATTTGTTTTTGTTTTTTTAGTATTCCATTGGATGGAAATAGAAATTTTGCTCATAATTGGAACAATGATCTTATTTATGATCTTATTTACGCCAAATGTAGGAAAAAAAACTTTAGAAATAATATCATCACATATACTTTCTTTATTTTCAGCAAGTAATAATCGAGTTCCTACATCATCAATGACATACAAAGATAAAATTTGGGCATGGATGGGAGTAGTTGGAAGTGAGAATTTTTTAACATTATTTTAAGACTTCTATCTATTTGTAAAGTAATTTTGAATGAATACTAAGTAAAACATTTACTTTTGCTCAGTATTTTATTCTCTTTCTCGTAAAGAAGAGTCCAGTAAACATAAATTGTTTGTTTGCTTGCTTGCTTGTGTGTCCGCAGGGTCAAAAAAACATCGAACATCGATTTTCCGTAAAGGTCGGGAACACGAATCTGATGTTAGTGTTAGCAAGTTATACAAGCAAAAGGTCCCGTAGCCTTGTAGAACACCATTTCTATGAGAAAGAATTAAGCGAGTCCTTAGACGAGTGTTACTTGTTTCAGAAAGAAAACGTATGCCCCTATGTTTATATTCTAAATAAAACGTATGGTGATATCTTGAGGGCAATAAGGAAGCAGATAACTATAAATATACAAAAAATCTCTCTCTCATTTCTACATTCACTTTCTTCTAGATAGCAATTCAGTGTCTACTTTTTTTAAACACATCCAACAATACAAACGCTCGTGCAAAGTAAGTTGAGTGTCTCCCATCTCTTACACTTTTTCCAAAATAATTTCTTTTTATTATTAAATCTTAGTTAAATTAAAATGTCAGCATTGGAAATCGACGCTCTTGATACATACTTAAATGGCGATAATCAAGAATCTCTATTAGATCCAACTGAACTTGATCAATTCTATGCGTTTCTTACAGCATATCCGAACATCGACGACGATGATACCAATACAAGCGCCATCGACGACGATGATAACGATACAATCAGCATTGCCGAGGATGAACCAATCATAATTGAGAATCATAATGGTTTAATCATTATTGAGAACCATCGTGGGTTATTGATCGTTGACAACAATCGTCGAGCACTTATTATCAATCATGATTCAGACGTGTTAACCAGCAACCATCGTCAATAACACGATGTTGATTAACTTTTCCCTTATTTGTTATTCTGTGAACCATAATATTCGAATAAATCTGTTAGTATACATGCAATTTTCGAAATTTCAATTCTAATAATAAAATACTTCGTTATTCACATATTCAAATATTGAGGAGGAAAAAGTGAGACTTCATCTGCTTCAAAATGTCTCTAAAGTACAAATAAAGTACCAATGAAACACCAATGAAGTACAAGTGACGTGGAATGAAGTAGAGGGTGGGTGTGGGTGTGTATGTTAAGTGAATACAGGATCCATATCCACACCCAACTTCTAAGTATACGTCTATATGCACGAATGTTCGTCTACGTGACATAATAACACTTGCCATTACAGCAATGCCGGATGGAGAGTCAGATCAAATACGTTAACGTTATTTCGAGAATATATTTTATTTACTTCTCAAGCACAAAAACTTGTGTCCTAGCTTTGTTTATGTTCTCGTCTTATTTGTTCAAATTATCAAATAAATTATGTGAGAAATATTCATAATGATTAATACAAATATTAATGTATAACATCATTTCTACATAAAAGACATCTTACCTTGAAGTGCTTAATTCTATATATCTCATCTTTCTTTTTTTAAAGATAAAAGTTAATAAACACAAGATATTCATGGAGACTAATCAATGAAATTTACAAATATGTTTTATTGTAGTGATATAGATTACTCTTCATTTACATTCACATTTATCTTTATTACGAAAACTAGATTTTATATATATTTCGATGTATTTATTTTATTTTTTTGTAAATAAAGTTAAACGCGAGATTATATAAATGTATAACTGTTTTAATTAACTGTCTTTTTGTATCTGATTAGTGATTTCTGGAAGACTAGAAACATTTGATTGCTTAGCTTTCTCTTCAATTATTTGCTGCTGTATTAATAATATTTGACGTTCCACGTCACCATCACCCATAATTTGAGTATGTGTCACAATAGCATGTTCTTCACGTGAATACGGCTCGCTTTCATTTTCTTTACCATCGTGAACACCTTGATCATTTACATGTTGGTTGACACCATTTGAAAATTCGAAAATTTCAAAAAGTCCATTTAAATCAACATTAAATATACGATTCAAATCTAAAGCAATTTTTACTTCATACTGATCAGGTTGATTATTGTTTATTGGTGTTAAGTTGGATCGAATTTTCGAAATCATATGCTTAAATGCTAATTCAACATTAGTCAAATCTCGTGCAGAAACTTCAAATATGGAAATATTTGATTCAATACCATACTCCTAATTGAAAATAAAATGTTCTTTTTTTTCTTAATTATTAAATATACTTTACATCAGCTTCGTCAAAACTAACTGCCTTTTGTCCTGCTAAATCACATTTATTTCCAATAATCAATTTCATCACATGTTTACCTCCATGATTATTAATTTCATCCAACCAATTCTTTGCATTTTCAAATGATTCCTAAAAAAAGAATTATCATTCCAAATTAAATTTTCGAAATACATGTCAATCATACTCTGTTTGTTGCATTATAAATAATAAAAATACCGTCTACATATGTTTCAAAATATTCTAAATACAAAAATAAACATACTTCTTGATAATAAATCACAACAAAAGATTACTTATGATGTCATCACGACATATTGCACTGGTACTATCGTACTAGTAGAAAAATATAAAACAAATATGGAGTTTATCGATTTGGAACATGCTAAAAGACATACAATTTCGAGTTCGATCCGTTCACCATTGAGACTAATTGCTTTCTTTCTCTAAAAATAAATTCATGTTTTCAATTCAAACTTTTAAAATAAACTTACAACGTTGTAACCAATACTAAATTCAATTGTCGATTCTCCTGGATAAAGATTCTAAAATGAGAATATCGAATAGTTATAGAATAAAAGATATCTCTGCTATACATACACTAATAACTGATGAAAAAGCTGTTTTTCCAACATCTGTATCACCAACAACCAACAACTTGTAGGGATGAGCACTAAAAGAAATCATCGTTCTCTTAAAATGATAAATTTATCGCTTACTGTTGAGGTGTTGGTATTGCCATGGTAATTCTTCCTAAATTTATCAAGTCCAGATGAGTGATGATTATGTTTTTAAGACTTCAGTAGTTAGTGAGCATTGACATTTAAAAGAATTTTCTTACATATAAAATCGAGATCATAATAAAAACACTTGCAAAACCAATTAATAAACTTTTAAACGGTAACGGATTGTTTATAGAAAAAGCACCTATTCTCGTAATTATTATATTACGTTGAAATTTCCATCCTGTTGCTACTGTAGAGACCATATTTATATGACTGATTGTAATTGCTACAATACTGCGTTGCACATGATCACGCTCAAACTCGTCAATTGAACGAGCAACTAGATAATTAATTTCTTTTGCATGGTGTTCAGTTAATAACTGAATGTAAACGAATTCTTTAAGTTATTGAAACATAAAAATGTATGCGAAGTCTTTATGAGTAATTGACATTAATAATCTGTTTTATAAAAAAAATTTCTTGTTTGGTTTTGGAATCATCTGCTTCTTCATCATTATTTCTTTTCATTCTTCCCTCACAACTTTCGAAAAATCTTGAGAAAATCATCAATAATCAAAAGTTAACACAATCTACTAATGTTTTCAGAAGATAATCAATATACTTGCATTCATAATAAATGAGAAATACTATTTATAATATTTTCTCAAATTCAATGAAATTATTTCAAGAATTCTACACACACATGCTTGATATAGACAAATTATGAATGAAATAAATAAGTTTAAATAATCTTCTTTTCCTTTCTATAATTATTAATAAATACTTACTTATTGTAACATACAATAAACACAGAATCTTTTGGCTCAATATTATCGAAAAATTTTTGTTATTTGAAGTTAACGAATATCTATTGATATTAATGAAATGTTATAATCTAATTATTTGCATTACGATCTGTAAAAAGGAAATTTATCCTTAGTATTAATGCAACTGAAACATGATATATGTATTTCAAAGCACTATTTTATTGATATATATCTTTAAATAAAACTGGTTTTCATCTAGTGAAAAAAATAAATAATTGTATAAGAATTGATCATTTGAATGTTATTATGGAAAGTAAAACTAATGTTTGTATTCACATTAAAGATAAATAGATTCCTAAATATCTTAAAAACACAAGATGTAAGAGTCATTGTGAACAATAATCATATATTGAAAGTAGTCGTCTATTTAAGCTCATGTCATCATTCAATATCAGCATTGAGATAGACTACGATAAAATTCAACATTGATAGGATATATGGAAGTATTGATTCTGTTCGTCAATTACTTTCATATATATGTATACAGGTATTCTATTCATTTAATATGTATGAGTTTATCGATGGTATGAACTCTTCTTTAATACTGGAACAGAAAGAATAATTCATTTTATTGATAAAATAAACCTTTTCTTTCCTTCTATTCTTCTATGTTTCTGTTGAGTATCTTTGTTTCGTATCTAACACAATGAAACTCTATTTGTTCAGACATAATAATGTAATCGTGAAGGTCTTTTCTGCAATACACATCTATTCAATGTGTATTATTTATCTTACTGGTGCGTGTCACTGCTCTTATTGCGTTCTCAACGAGAATAGTTTAAACAGAGACAAATTTTCTTTTTCATCTGTTTTATTTTACTTTCGAAAAAAATGCACAAATAAATTATAAGTTCTTATTTACAATTTCGAGGTTTTTTCTCCATTGTTGAAGTCTCGGATGATTTGTTAGTAATGATTGTTCTCCAATTTGTACAGCACGTTCGTAAAACGAATGAGCTTTTGAATAGTTGCCCATATTCTGATACACTGTACCGATGTTGTTATACGAACCACCCAAATCAGGATGATTGGAAGGAAGCGATTGTTGTCGAATTGCAAGGGCCTTTTCATGAGATAAAAGTGCTTTTGGATAATCATCCATGTTCTGATAAACATTGCCGATGTTGTTATGGGAAGCACCCAAATCAGGATGATTAGAAGGCAGTGATTGTTGTAGAATTGCAAGATCTTTCTCATAATATGAAAGTGCTTTTGGATATTCACTCATGCTGTAGTATACCATACCGATGTTGTTATAGGACATAGCCAAATCAGGATGGTTGGAAGGAAGCGATTGTTGTCGAATTGCAAGCGCCTTTTCATGAGATGAAAGTGCTTTTGGATAATCATCCATGTTCTGATACACATTACCGATGTTGTTATAGGAAGCACCCAAATCAGGATGATTGGAAGAAAGTGATTGTTGTTGAATTGTAAGGGCTTTTTCATAAGATGAAAGTGATTTTGGATAATCACCCATGTTGTAATACACCACACCGATGTTGTTATAGGAAGCACCCAAATCAGGATGACTGGAAGGAAGTAATTGTTGTCGAATTGTAAGAGCTTTTTCATGAGATGAAAGTGCCTCTTGATATTGTCCTTGATTATATTTGATCCGACCTAGTTGAAAATAAATCGGTGCTTTGTCGCTCTCATTTGTTGTTTGGTTAAGTAAAACTTCGTAAACTTCTTGCGCCTTGTTAAACTGACCCATTTTAATTAACAATAATCCTAGTCTGTACCATCCTTCTACATTTGGAAAGGTCTCTTGCCGGATACGATCAGTAAGAGTTTCAAGATCTTGATCGTTGTCGTTGGTCAATATTAAGTTTACTCTATAGAGATGATTATTTTCATTCATTGGTTTACTATCTCCAATGCGAAAAATGGTATGCATAGAAAAGAGAACTTCGTCTTCTGTATGAAAATAACTAACATCTGAAACAGAAGCAAATGGAGCTGTTGAGCGAGTAGAGTTAGTGGAAATAACAAATAGAATTCCGACAAGATCAGGATTTGTAGCAGCTTGTGGTGCGAAAAAGAGAGAAACATTACGATTTCTACTAGTCGATAAAAAGTTATTAAATGAAAGGAGTCCACCTTTAGTTTTTGTCATTTTGGTGAAATCTTCTTTTGAAAGACATTGTCCACGATAAACTGTAAATGTTTTACCAGATTGCTGACCATTAAATTGTTCCGAATGGAGCCGTTGAATATTACGATGTAGATCATTAATAAAGAAGCCCATTCGAACAATAGTATCAACATCCATTAATCTTAATGCTTGGTTGAGCATCGAATATAAAAAATATTGATAGGTATACCACCAAACAGGTGTTTGATCATGATAATCACGTTCCAATTTTGTAATATTATCTAATTCATACTGATTTTCGACAAATGCTTCACGACAATATGTAATAAATTCTTTGAAATGTTTATCTTCGAATTTAATGGTTAATAAGATCTCTTTCAAGATCTGAGTATACATGAATGATGGATCTAATTGATCCAATTTCTTGTTTGATGCCACGAAGCTGATTGAGATGGCATTTTGTTCACATTGGTGAGCAGCTTGCTTGAGAGCTTCGCAGATTGATGCTATATCTGTGTAGACTCCTTTTATTTTAGGCCATTTTTTGACCCATTGTTTATGCCATTCTTGGTTGTTACAAAAAACAAAAATGGTGTCTACTTGGGACATATCATGCATATGAGGCAAAATATGTTTCCCAAGTGACCCGGAGACAATCATACATACTTTGTTGTTGTTGTTTATGGTTTGAATAAATTCAACACATTCTTCACTATTTGTAAACGTGTTTACGTTGTTCACTACACGTTTTAATTGCTTAATTGTATTATTACAATCAGCATTATTTTCATTAATATTGTTGTCCAACCAAATGAGGAGAACATTTTGCATTCTTTGCATGTTCATACGTCGATTTGCAACTGCACCCTTGGAAAAGCTTGATGCTTGTTTATCATTAGCCTGTGTATTGTTTTGAACAGATGTTATTGATTTGTTGTTTGCCATTGTTTGTTGTAATGTAGATTACTTCAAGGAGAAATGTTTATGAATAAATGAGAATCATGTATCATTTTATAGTATAAGAATTTTCTTTTGAGATTGTTCGTTTATCATCATTTACATTGTTTTCTCTGTTATCAGTATTTTACTTAGTTTTTTCATGTTTGTTAAATATACATCACCAAATACTACAGATATCTTCAAAGATATTTATTAGTTACCGATAAACGAAAAGGACATTAAAGTATGGTCGTTGTTGATAATTCAAAAAAATAATCTGTAAGAAATAATTCTGAAAATATTTGCCCTTAAAAAAAACCTCTAAAGATAATTTTACTTTTTTCAGTCATTATTAGAGAATGCTGGAAATCTACAATTATTCTTATCTCCAGACAAATGATTACTGAATAATATGACAAAAATATCAGAACAATAGTAAAGATTTTCTGTTAGAACAATGAGCAAAAAGAAATATTTAATTATTGTGTTGTCAACTGTTCTTTTTTATTTTCATGAGTCGAAGACTACGTGTATTCATGTTTTATGACGAAGATAACGTTATCAGAAATATGAAAGATCAACAAATATGCACATTCAGGTAAATCAAAAAAAATCCAATGTTGATATATCTTTAAAATTAATTAAATTCATGAAAAAATCTTCCTTTATGTGTTATTTGTTTCCATACTAATTAGATGTTTGAAATAAATAAATTAAGCATTATCACCTACTAGCTACTAGACAATGATCAGATGTAAACTTTTATAAATCATTTCAATATCAGCCAATTCTGAGAATAAAAAGCTGAAATTATTCAATAACACTTCTTGTTTTTGAGAATTGAATCATAATACTTCTACTTATCTATTCTGAAGAAATCTATAAAATACAGAAAACAATTAATCACGTACATTTTCAAATGTTAATCTGAGCCAAAGTTCATTTTTTTAATAATTAATATGTTTGTTTTATCTTTTAGAAGTAGCTTATATTCGACAAAAATTTATTTCTGAAAACTATCACATATTATCTTATGAAACATTTATGAAATTATCTGTAAAATATGCTTTCAGATTTTAAATAGCAATAGTAAAAATATAATCTACTTGTATAAATATAGATTTTATTTGTATATAAAACGAAAAAAAAATATGTGCACTGAATAACTTAGCTATATAAAGTTAAACAATCATTCTCTTCGCTATATATGACAATAGAATTCAAATCAATCTTTTTATCAAATTATTAATACAATCGTTGTATAAAGTATATTTGTATTTTATCTTAAGGGTGGGTGTATCATATATATTCTAATTACTCACATTCACTCATATCCTCAAAATATAAAGTTAGTTAACTTTTATGTATATCTTTTAATTATCTCGGAATTTAAAAAAGTCAAAATCATGTTTTTGTGACGCTTCCTGTAAAAAAAAGTATGTAATTATTCAGGTGATTGACGATTAATTATGCTTGTTTATTTTAAAAAACACTTCTATTAAATATAATTAAAAAAAAAAGAAAAAAATATTTGCTCAAAACCATATAATCAATTAATTTTGTCGATTATGTTTAGGCGTTTACGTGGTTGTGATGTAATTGCTCTATGAATATTTCATATTTTTTCAAACATAAAAAGAACAATATATAATTTACTTACCCTCCATCACGACCAGGGCAACAGCAATCGAGTGGAATACATACAATACAATCAACAGGTCCACAATCACAACATAACTAAATTATTTTATATGAAAATAAAACGAAATCATCAATATCATTTTCTTACTGGTAAACACATTTTATATTCGTTGTCGATATGAAATCAAATAGAAGGCAAATGAACCAGTGCATTTTCATGCTCTATTAACATTTTCTTTTTGTCTCTCTTACTCATCAAGATACGCCTGATTTCTCTATTCATTTTTTTTCTACCGTATGCATCTATCTCATGGACAAATACATAATTCAACAAAGCAAAAGAACGATGATACATCATAATAATAAAACCATCACGTGGCCGAAACACGCACACAGAATAAATAAAGGATGACTCAACTTATTTTCTTTTTTATATCGGATTATATCATAAACGATTGTTTTGTATCTTTGAATTTTTTCGCAAACAAATCATGTTTTATCATTTGTCTTACTATCAAAAACCTGTTAGATTTTTACAATGTGTTATTCGACGATTATCAAGTTCGAACAAAGATCAACAAGCAAAATGGTATAAAAATGGATTACATCGATCATTATTACCAAATACTAATAATTTTGAAAAACGTAATATTTTTCTTATGTAAGTGTATTTTTGTTTTTAAATATAATAGATATTTATTTTTATATATTAAAGGGGACCACCAGGTTGTGGAAAAACAAGTGTTGGACGTGAATTAGCTCGTTTAACAAATAAATCCCTTATTGATATTGATGATAATTGGCTTGAACCACGATGGAAAACAAGTGTAGCATCAAAATTAACTGAACTTGGTGATGAAAAATTTCTTGAAGCTGAAGGTCAAGAATTACTAGCATTAGATCATGAAAATCATATTATATCATTAACTGGTTCAAATCCATTACACACTCAATCAATGGAATATCTTTCAAAACGTGGTATTTTTGTATATTTAGATGCATCACGTGAAACAATATTAAATCGTTGTGAAATAATGCGTGTCGATCGTATTGTTGGACAACGAACAAATACTTTGAATGATATTCTTAATTGGCGTGAACATATTTATGAAAAATCTTATGATATTAGAATTATTATAGGTAAAGATGAAACACCTAAAGATATAGCACAAAAAATTATCAATCAACTTGAAAAACAATCGAAAATGTATGAAAGTACTCGAAGTGGAGATCAGCTGAATAATCAACAATTTCTTAATGTTGTTCAACAAGGACTTGCACCTGATGGTGGACTTGTTGGTACGTAAAATCTTAAAATAAAAATAAGAATTATTATTTATTTCGATTACGTATAGTTTCTCGTTCATTCAGTCCAATGTCTCTTGGTGAATTACAACGTTTAGTTGGTTTATCCTATCCTGAAATGGCTTTACGTATTATGGAACGATTTCCACTTGGTACTCTTCATCCATCTCATTTACGTTCTTTACTCTGGCAAGCTTATTCAAGTTTTGATGATGGAAAAATTTTACCAGTTCGTCATCTTCGAAAAAATCAATATTTAATGGAAACATTTCATGGTCCAACAGCATCATTTAAAGATTTAAGTCTTCAATTATTACCACATTTAATGCAAGCAGCAACAGAATTAACTTCAATCGATGAACATAAAATAACTCGTTTAGGTTTACTTGTTGCTACATCAGGCGATACAGGTTGTGCAGCACTTGATGCATTTGCTCGATTACCTGGTACACCTGTTATTGTTCTTTATCCAAATACTGGTGTTTCCATTGTACAAAAAGCACAAATGCAAACTGCATCAGGAGATGTTTGTGTATTAGGAATTGATGCTGATTTTGATTTTTGGTAAATATTTTTTGTTTTGTTATTAAATTAATTAATAAATTAATATTTTTAGTCAAACAACAGTCAAAGAAATTTTTAATGATAAACAATTTCTATCTGATATAAATCAAATTGTACCTGGTCTACATCTTTCATCAGCAAATAGTATTAATTGGGCACGATTTTTACCACAAATTGTATTTACTATAAATTCTTATTTACAACTTGTTCAACAAGATGTAATTAAACTTGGTGAATTAATTGATGTTTGTATTCCAACAGGAAATTTTGGTAATATGCTTGGTGCTTTCTATGCTCGACAATTAGGTTTACCTGTTCGACGTTTAATAACAGCATCGAATGAAAATAATATTATTGCTGATTTTATTCGAACTGGTTCATATGATTTACGTAATCGATCATTTCAAAAAACAATTAGTCCTAGTATTGATATATTAATAAGTTCAAATCTTGAACGTTTTCTTTATTTATTAACAAATGGAAATTATTCAAAAGTTCAACAATTATTTAATGAACTTGCAAATGATCGATATTTTAAAGTTGATACGAATTTATTAAAACAAATTCAATCAGAAATTCAAGGTGATTGGACAACGGAAAATGAATGTATTGAAATGATGAAAAAAGTTTATTATGAAACAAAACAAATTATTGATCCACATACAGCTGTTGGTGTACATATAGCAGATAAATTTTCAAAATCAAATGATATACCAATACTTATATCAGCTACTGCTCATTATGGAAAATTTCCTCAGTCGGTATTAAAAGCAATTGATAATAATAAACAATCAATATCATCAAATGATATATCGATATTATTGAAAGATTTACAATCATTAAAATCAACTACACCAATGCATCATGAATTAATAAAATTACCGAAGAAACCTGTTATACATACAAATACCGTTGAAGCAAAAAAATCGGCTATTATTAAAGAAATTAAAACATTTTTAGAAAAATTTTCTAAACAACATTTATCGTAGTTTTTAAAGTTTTAACAATCAAAAAGTCTTGTTTTTTTGTTAGAAGAATTGAGAATTCAGTAAGCAATAAAATGATAGACAGCTTGAATCTACCATACAAAAAAAAACTCTCAATTAGATAGTGAATAATAAATAGAAACTACTGTCTGTTACTGAATTACAATAAAAAAGGCCTATCTCCAAAGCTTAAATTATATAAAATCTGCTTCGTATTGATTCGTTCTAATTCATAGTCACAGTTTATTATTAAGTGATTTCTCTATCTATATACTTATTATTGATTTTGCCCTGAAGCATTATATGTTCTTTTGATGATGTGTATATAAACAGTACAAATTTAAATATTCTCATCAATAGAGCTATGAATCATTGATATGTGTTCGGTACAGAATTATTTATAGTACTCTCTCCGTTTACCTTTAACCTTATCCATTACATTGTCTGTTTCCGAACCCAAAAAAGCGAGATTGCTTACATCCAATCATTATGATAATAAAAAACATTTCATAACTAGATCTACATATTCATGTGTACTAACAATCTGATGAACGTATATTTATAATTTCATTGTTTTAAAAATGTCTATAAAATTTTTCTACCAATTCATCTATCTTATCAACCTAACTAAACATAGACAATTTCAATCATTATTCAATTGACGTCAATGTTCATCTTTCATTTTTTTTCCAACACGTCGTTATCTTTACTTGAACAAATAAGCAACAGCACAAAAAAAAAAAGAAGAAAGAAATGTTTCATTCTTTCTATACAATATCGAAAAAGAAAATTAATTCTTTCTCTCCCTCTCTCTCTTATTCATATCTAGTATTGCTTTTAGTCCACCCACTAATATGACCCTGTTCATGTATGTGTAAAGAATATTTTAACAGAGGGAAAAAAAAAGAGAACGTCAAGTAATCCAACTATTCGACTCTTATATAAAGCCGATTTGTCGTCGTCATCGTAATTAATATTTGCAAATCAAGAGTATGTGTATTGTTGTACCTTATTGATCATATTGATTTTGACTTGAACAGACAGCCGGAAAGATCGACATGGATCGTAAGTACTTGTTCTCGCGCCTCGATTATCTTTTGTTACTACATCTATCATACGAACAATTGATTTAACCACTTTCGCAACAATTCTATAGAGACCTCTCCCATTCGCCCGTTGGCTGATAGTATGTAGTAGTAGTATGCCTATTTGATTTCTGTCACTTTAGTTAACATCTGACTGCACATATATGTGTCTCCACCCTATTTTTCCGTCATCATCATCATCATCATCACAATGCTCTCTAACTTCTTTTCTTCTTTTTCTTCTCATTTTCTTAGCAGCAATTGAAATAATGTTGTTAGAAGTCGTTCGCTTATGTTCTCTCGTCAATTCTTTTTAATCAAAGATGCATTCTCATTGGCAGTAGTTAGTCGTTTCTTTTGCTCATAACAATGAATCAAAAAAAGAAAAAAAAAATCTATACTAACAATGCAGCAATAGCTAACATGCAAAAAAAAAAAGAAAGAAAAGACGAGAGAAACGTTGTTCAACATATAGACATTACTTAAAACATTTAAAAGCAGAAAAAAAAGGAAAAGAGTAAAGAGGCCAACCATGGAGTCCAACGACCCGACACTATCAAACAAGACCTCAACATTATTACCACCGCCCTCGACTTGGTCAGCCTTGTACAGATCATATTTTGGTATGAATTGATTATATAACTGGGATATATACATGTGCATGTATATTTATATATTGATTGTCTTGAATTGAGATCATCGAACAGGAGAAGGAAAAAAAATGAGAGGCAGAGAGAGAGAAAACGAATGATGAAAATTAAAAAGAGGAAATATTTTTTTGGTTATTTTTCATTTTAAAACTTAAATTCAATTCCCATATATATATACATTAGATTAAATTCTTATCACATGCATATGTATATGTATATATATATACATATTTTTTCTCTTTTGTTTCTCAACGAAATAATGTACTGTCTGGAATGTAGTTCAGGTCATTGTAGTAATAAGTGTATGCTATAAGAGATGATGATGATGATCGAATCTCTTTATTGTTTCTCTTCGTTATGTAAAAGGGTTCAAAAACGCGATAAAGGTCTTGTTGTTAATGCACCTTGAAAAAAAATCTTTAAAAAAAAAAAGAGACGCGTCGCGAAGGTTACCCACACATTTCGATGTCTTCTTCATCATTTATTGTCTCGACGTATGCAGACCTTTTTTCTCTGTGTTCTTTTCCTTCATTGTTGTTGTTACGTTTGCTTAACCTTTCCTTCTTCTTTTTTTTCGTATCCTATGGCTTATAGTATATTGTCATTCTTTTCCTTGTTATCTTTTTTTCTTCTCGTTTTTGTCACCAAAATTTCGTGTTTAGTAAGTATATTTTTTTACCTTGAAGAAAAATTTCTTTTGTTTATTATTAATAATGACCGATAAAAGGTCGTATTTAAAACATGTCCGTTTATTGTGAATACCAAATATCCGTTCTGATACAAGGTCATATGAAGCTATATAGTTAACGAGACTCAAATGTTGTATATATGTATTTGATAACCTAGAATGTATTCGAGAGGAAAAAGAAAGAAAAAGAAAAATTTTTTCATCTTATTCTATTTTGACCATCGGCTATTGAATGATTTGTCCGAGTATGAATACATTCATATAATACAAAATGGATTGTAAGTAAGAAAAATAAAAATAGTTTTTTAAGAAGATTAGAGGGAAAAAAATATTATATTTTTTAAGTGAATCTGATCCTTGATAGCACATATGTCACAATGAAGAAGAAGAAAGAAAAGACATCGAACAACGATGTGTGACATTAGCTATATATGTATATTCCACCTGAAAGTATTTGACTCTATTATACCACTCGACACATGCTTGCTTGAGTTATAGATTGAAAGAAATGTATTCGTTCGTGTATATATGAGTATCTATTATTGTATTGATATAAAATTCGAATAAGTTGACATGTGTTTTGAAAAAGATCAGCATGAAATATTTAATTGTGCATATGTGATATTATTCTCCTTTTGCTTTTCCCATATTTCATTCGTTCTATTTTCTTTAAAATGTACTTGATTGGTTCCTTTTTCTCTCTCTACTCTAATGACATACTTTATTGATTGGAGAAAATAAAAAAAATTTTTATCAATTTTTTTAGCGTTTGCTTTTGGTTCACCGATGACATTAATGAATCATCATCATCATCAACAGCAATATATCCCACCATCATGGACAACAGCAGATAATAATACACGATTTCTTTCTATTGATTCTCAACAACAACAACAGCAGCAACAGCAGCAACAACAACATTGTCGTCCAACATTTTCAAATGAAACAAATAATAATCAATATAATCTATCATCACATATTCAACCAAAATTAGAACCAAATAATATTATAATTAATGGTAATAATGATACACTTATTGATGATCAGCGTGCAGATACACATTCATCGATGATAAATGATAAACAAACTGTAGAATGTGTTGTATGTGGAGATAAATCAAGTGGAAAACATTATGGACAATATACATGTGAAGGTTGTAAATCATTTTTTAAACGTTCAGTTAGACGTAATCTGAATTATACATGTCGTGGAAAGTAAGGTTTTTTTATCGATGAGAATTCTATTCATAATTTATATCGTTTCTTGCTAGTCGGAAATGTCCGATAGATACTCATCATCGTAATCAATGTCAATATTGTCGATTTTCTCGTTGTTTAAAGATGGGCATGAGACGTGAAGGTAATAGAAATATATATAAACTTTTGTTTCCCGTCATTCATTTCTTTTAAATTAAAGCTGTTCAACGTGGTCGTGTTCCATCAGTTTCGAATACTTATGGTCATTTTACATTTCCACCAGATGCACATAATTATTTAAATAATTATATCTCACATTTAGTTCGTGCTGAATCTTATTCATTTATATCAAATCGTTTACAATCTTCATCAACACCAGCTGCAGGTAGTTCATCCAATTCGAATTCATCGACATCATCAGATAACAATAATAATTCAAATGTCATAACAATGGATAATGCCTGTGAATTAGCAGCAAGTCTTTTATTTGGTGCTGTTGAATGGGCACGTAATATTCCTTTTTTTCGAGAATTAACATTAAATGATCAATGTTTATTATTACAAGTAACATGGAATGAATTATTTTTATTGAATGCAAGTCAATGTAATATGCCAATACAAGCAACACAATTATTAATATTAAATGGTATACATAACAATACAATTGATTCAGATAAAGTTCAAACATATTTAGATCAAACACGAAAATTTCAAGAACAAGTAGAAAAATTTAAATTAATGCATTTAGATCATGCTGAATATTCATGTTTAAAAGCAATTATTCTTTTTACACCAGGTAAGAAAAACTGAAGAAGAAATTTTTTTTTATTATTTATGTATTTTTTTTTCTAGATGCACCAGGTTTATCTGATCCAGGACATATTGATAATTTACAAGAAAAATCTGTTCTTGCATTAGAAGAATATATTAAAAGTCAATATCCATCACATATGAATCGGTTTGGTAAATTACTTCTTCGTTTACCATCATTAAAATTAGTCAGTTCACATGTTATCAAAGAAATCTTTTTTGTTCGTTTGGTTGGAAAAACACCAATTGAATCATTAATTCGAGATATGTTATTAACAAATAATACATTTCCAAATGGAACAGTTTCAACTGCAGCATCATCATCATCATCAACAACAACAACAACAGCAGCAGCAACAGCAGCTACAACGACACCTGCGTTTAATATTAATTCAACGCAAGTATCAAATCAATATTCATCATATCCACAGTAATAGAAGAAAAACTAAAACATTATTATTTTTATTTTGACTAAATTAGAGGTTTGCTTTTATAAAGCAAATGAAGTATTCTCAAAAAATTTACTTGGCGGACCTCTTTTACCCCCACTTTTTTTTTCTTCTTTTTTTTTGTT